TAAAGGTCCCTTGTAGACTGTAATTGATATCAGACATGTGCATAGATGGTGAAGACATTAAAAGTTACTGTTCCTTTACATTGAAAGCACATTCAAACATTCCTGGATATGAACAAAAATCTATTTACACAGAAATTTGCCCATATGAATCACAATATTAGAAAGGATAAGATCGCTGTTACAGATGTCCACCTGATGTTAGCCAAGGACCGTGAAACATATGTACTGGAGAACATAAGTCCACATCTAGTTTTAAGTATGTAATAATGCAACTTGATTCCCACAGCCTGATTATGGTAGTAGTAATATATTTACAAACACAAAATCAACATTAACATTCATTGGACTAATAACTCCATTACTTGCAACACAGAAAAAATAATCTTGTCAGTCAAGCAAAGTATTAGAGTAGATGCAGGCTCTGCTACCAAGTCTTACATTTTGAAGTATGGGGGATTTCAAACCATAAAACACCAATCCATGAAAGGTTAAATGTTTTGTAAGCCAATCCCCAAACTTATACCTACAGAGTGCTGGAAATTGAGGACTGAAGGTAAAACCTATATACATATAAGTTACAGAATATAATGTATCATCTGTAACATTACTTCTGTAATTAATAAAGTAATAATTCATATACCATGTGAATAAGTTAGCAAGTCATGTATAGTTCTATATATGCATATATCTGTGTGTTGCTATGCTCATTAACACTATCATCATATTCCTTTTCAGTTGTAAAAATTTATTTTGACACATGCTATACCCATGTCAGGAAATTAATTAAAATGGCTCATTGTTAGTGCAGCTTATTCTAGTTCTCTTCTTATACACTGCAGAATACTTAGGTCTTCAAATCTTTCTGGTTTGTAAGTCAATTCTAAGATTTTTATGCAATGACCACTAATATAGGAAACTGTTAAAGCTTTCTCCTTTTTTTCTAATTATTTGAATTTTATTTACTAATAATCATTACATTTAAATAAATTCATGCATGCACTGTACATATTCACAAACTATCTTTCTTCATGAATTGCATGTAGTTGTTGATAAAGAACTGTATAGTAGCGTGTAAAGGAAACACAGAATAAGTATAGATAGACTATCTTCCTTAACAAAATTTACAATCCATGATAAAACCATTCCACTACATTTTATATACAACAAATTAAGACATATACATACATCATAAATAGGTACACATTCACCCTCACATAGTTATTGATTCCTGGCGGCAAGGAAATACCAGAAATATGTAATCAGATGGAATGTTCTTAAGAGTTTTGACTTTAAACTTTCACTCAAAGCAAATAAAAGAAAACTGTACATTCCTATAATTCACAAATAAGAAGGTATGACTAATTTACAAGATACTGTACCCATATCATGACAACCACAAGAAACATTGATTGTTATCTAACTGACAAAAGATGTGGTATAGAAAGTCTATTGACATCTAGATATGATGGTTTAAACTCACAAAGACTAGTTCTACAACATGCTCTGTGAAATGTAATAAGCTTGTATTTTAACACACTTTAGAAAACTGAAGATGAGAGATGATAATAATAACTCATTGCATTTCTAAGCTCAATAATCATCTCCAGCACAAGTTCTAAACTTCAATAGAAATGAAAAATAATGTATAACCCTGTAATTAACTTCTCATTTATAAACTGTTTTTTCTCCACAAGTTTGTGCTTTAACTTAAAATATTAAAAAAATTAATGAGGAAGAAAAAATAGTTATAACAGAACTGATATATACTATATGCTGCTTTAGTTGTCTTTCTTCATACGTGGGTTGGTCATGCGATAAATGATGGAATCACGTCCAGGATCCATGGTAGCCATGGCAACAGATGTTGCCAAGACTGCAAGGAGCAAGATGATGCTCAGCCACAAGACAATGTTGAATATGGCAGGGTAGTCTGATGTGTACTGGGTGGCAAGGTTGTAGTCTTCCAAGTTCACATCCTGGGAAGAAATAAAGCCCATGCTGCTAAGTGTTCCTAGCAACTGATTTGAAAAATATTCTGTTTTGTAACTCTTTTGATTTCTTGTATGCAACTTTTCTTCTTATATAAATACAAGATATTTTACATCCTGTAACACTATATAATAACATTATCTACATTATTTTGATAAATTAATGACTTTTATACAAGAAGGCAAACCTACCTCACTCTGGAGAATGGAACGTGAAGATCGTGAGAGTTCCTCTAGCTGCTCCACTGTAGCCGTAGCAACCAAGACTCTGTCATTATAAATGTGGCGCATCATGTCTGTGACTTGAACAAGCTGTTTTCTCAGGATCTTTTCTGCTTCCTTAACCTGGAATTCAAGAGAACTGAGGTTAATGACTGCATATGAAATCTTACACTCTTCATAAAATTCAGGAACAAGAAATTCCCACACAAGTATCTAACGAAATCTGTTTCTGAAATGAAAATCACTGTCAACTAATCAACCCTCTCCATGCCAGAAAGAGTGAAATAAAG